TACAATAAAAATAACATATTATCAAAAGTATTCATTACAAGTTGATTAGTGTTAAAAAATATCAACCATGTTTACAATTGATGAGAAAATATATATTTAGAAAATATCCCTATTATATTATATAAAAAAAATCTAAATTCTTCTACTAAATTCTACTAAAAAAGTATATCACAAACGCCCTCCAGTGATCGCGTTACTGTTGTCATGGCAACCCAATTTACGATTATTTGTAGAAGAGAATGAATGTTTATGTTCCCATTGGCGGAGTGTTGAAATGTTTTTCACTGATTTGAAATTAAAGGGTCATACCTGTACGTGACGAGATACTAAGTATATACAACTCGTTTCATAGCGCATTCATGGCAACACCGGGTACTGACAGTAATAAACATAGTATGTGCACCTTATTATTGCCCCACGCTTTACAAATATTAGTCTGAAAATAATAGACAAATAAAGGCAGTGTCCCACTTTTGAGTTGGGGGTGACCCGTAATCAGCGCAAACAAATCAATCTCTTTCAGAAGTCATGTCAATAGCTATATCTGAAATAATAATGTCACGTTTCGACAACAAACGGACAGAAAATAATCTATTGAACCCGTAGCTCTTCTTGCATCCCATATATTAGGGTCGTCCTATTGTGAAATCGCAAAATGGAAGCGGTTATCATACCGGTCAAATGTTTATAAACCAACGCATAATGTGTTACAGTCTATTCACCTGGCGAGCTTCTGCAATGCGCCATTTTGTTTTTATTGCCGCTCGCAGCTCTTAAATGAAGCAGCGACATATTTTGCAGTATGTCGGTCCCTAGGGAGTTTCAAACATGCAAATTATAACTATGAGCACCAGGCGGGCGCCGATCAAAGAAATGGCGTTAACCTTGGCAAACATATCATATAATATTACTACTAAATAAAATTAAAGCAAGGGGTATTAGACACAAATTCAGAAATAAATCAACTTAAGTTAGTGTCATTTATAATTTTATTCGCGAACGACCCAAATTGGAAGGGGTTTGTGTGTGAGCTCGGCTCCTGGGCTAAGATGTGTCACTTCGCATTCAAGTTTGGAGGTGTAATAACCACAGAGATATACATTGACAGTCAATTAATTGATTTTTGTACAGTATTCCGTGTAGAAATACAGTTTTATTTTTTTACTCGGAAAGAATTGGCATAGACGACTGTCTAAACCCTTAGAATAACATAGTATTCAACTATTAAATGAACGAGCCTAAACAAAGAATAAATTGCCAATCGTGACAGTCACCATAGGAACAACAATTAGTTGCGATATTGTAATATGGAGTTTGTTATCTTTTTCGTTCATTCAAATTTATGAAATATTACGAGTAGTTATGGGCAACAAGTTATTGATTCTCTTTTATGCTGAAAACATACATAGTAGGTTGTAAAATCTCATTCAATGAGAATGTGAATAATCCTTGCCTTTTTTCATCTGTCTGGTTATTTGTTCACAGCATCGAGAAGTATTTATAAAACCTACTACGGGCAATACAAAAATCCGGAATATACAACCCCTTTTTGCCGCTGAGTAAGCTATCAACAATTTGGTTTCTATTTAACTATATTCATTTCGCATTTTACAGTGGGCATTTCATTTCACTGTAGGGGTGATTTCAATAAACCTCTAGACGGGGATTACACTTACTATACAATTTCTGATCAACGAAAAGGTTCATATTAGTTTGGAAATAATTCAACTTGAAATACGATTACAGGAAACCGCACTGCATGCTGGGGGGTGTGAAAACTCGGATGATGATATTAAATGGAATACTAGTATATATGTAGATAGAACGTGAATTTTGAGAATTTTGGATCAAGTTTGAAAACTGCATATGTTATGTATATTCCCTTCTCCAGCCAGCCAAGTAGATTAACCGAAACTGAGAATTCACCCATTATCAGTGTATTCTGTTGTCATGATAAATGCAATTCAGGTGTTGATAATAGCCAACAGGATTCGTTGCGGAAATAATTAGCAGTGGCATTACGTCGCGTCACGGCATGCCTCTTAATATTTGCTAAGTTAGACTTGTTATTTCCAGCGTGTCGTATTTGAAAAACTGACATATATTTTTCTCTGAATGCATCAGTAAATTGGATAAATATGTGTTTGAATTCACTCATTTCGTAGCTCCGTCTATATTCGAGTTACTAATCTACAAAATGACATGTTGATTGGCGGTACACAGTGGAAAGTTTCTTTCATTCAGCTTTCCTACCAATGAATCTTAACGCTTGATTAGCGAAAGAAAGTGAGTGCATAAACGATTTATGCAATTAATTTAGAAATAAAAAAACGCTGCCAATCTTTTCAAGAAAGAAAGACACGTGAAAATGATGGTATAATCAAGGTGTCAATGGAAATATACGCCAATGGGTTCGTGTCTTGGAAAATGGGGCGAGTAATATAATTGACGTTCCCTTGGTGCAGGTGCTCTTTTTTATTTGTTTTTTGTTGTTGTTTTATTTGAATAGTGTTGTTTTATCCTGAAAGATGCGAGTATGTAGTTTTAACCACGCGTGATTGGCCAAGATTGGGTGGCGTTGACGTGGCATTGAGCGTGGGAAAGTATCCGTGACTGTCACGGGGTTTAACTTAAGTAGACTTGGGTGCGGTACTCTAGGGAATAGTAACATGGAGAAGATTAAAAATTGAAAGCAACTTTCATTTGCACACTAGGTATTCCGGCTGTTAGGAAGGTTATTGTTATATAACTGCCGGTTGTTGCCATGGAAACTGAACAAAACGCGTCACCGTCGCTTAAGAAGAAGCAATTTTCCAAATTCATCCGATGTACGGTTGTTCGTGTCTCAAAATTGTATTTACGTAAGTAATAATTTGAAAACAAGTCATCGACTTTTTTATTTTTAGTAAAATATATTTTTGATGAAAAACTGTCTGAAATAGTGCATAAATGGGCAATTATGGGAGAAGTTACATAGAAATTCATGTTAAAGCTTTGTAAATATAGAATACCTAATTAATCACTATAACTCGTAAAACAAAAATGTTTTTTTTTTAACAATGTCAACATTACACTGCATTGTGGAAAGATAATGTATTATTTTGATCTGTTTTAATTGAAACCTACTACCTCAATAGTATTCACGTCCAACGAGCTGGTGGTATTTACAGACTTTGAAAGGGAGACGGTTGTAAAGACGCCCGCAATGAATGGGTGACTAATTCGTGGGTCTTGTGGAGTGGCCAAAGAGGCACTTAGCCAAATAATGCCCAGAGGAGCCTTTGGCACAGTTTCAAACGTGTAAAATATTTGTTGTGATCAGAAAGGAGAGTTTAATTGATTTAAAGTACTCGATTTCTGAAACCTATGTTGAACGTATTGCTGTTTTTGATCGTGAACACTATCGCAATGTCTGTGTCGCCTACATCACATGACGTGAGTGTGCAATATGACGTTATCATGTCAATATGTTTGTTTCCATGACAACATTTAGAAAACCCATTTCTGCAATAATTATGTTTTCTAAGATATCAATACGTATAAGTTGTTACTCAAAATTAGTCGTAAAGAAAGAAAGAAAGAAAGAAAGAAAGAAAGAAAGAAAGAAAGAAAGAAAGAAAGAAAGAAAGAAAGAAAGAAAGAAAGAAAGAAAGAAAGAAAGAAAGAAAGAAAGAAAGAAAGAAAGAAAGAAAGAAAGAAAGAAAGAAAGAAAGAAAGAAAGAAAGCATTGGGGGTGGTATTTATTCATGAAACTTAAGGCGGCTCCAGGAAATTGTATTACAAAGTGTGGTAACAAAATTGTGATGGGATGGAAGACGTTGAAATTAAAGGTATAGCGTATCGCTATAAGCAAAGAAAGTAGAAACAGCTCAGTTCGTATAATCCAAACGCACACTGCATAAACTGTGAAATAAAATGTTGATGAGAGAATGCCCTGACGTATTCACATGCACACGTTCTATTAACATTGTCGCGTTGTCCGGATACCGGGTTGACGCTGTACTATAAGATTCACGTCCGTCGAAACACAAATGATCGATGTTCCTCGTGTAATTGGATCACCGAGCAAATTCCTTATTCAGAATGAAAACACGGCACATGCCTAGAAGACACTGTGGCGGACACCCGGAGACGTTCAGTGCCTTAGGAACATTTCTGGTGACATTAATCACGATAGCATGACATGTACACTCACCCCAACAACCAAATTAAACGGGCTTTAATTTCCGATTTCTTCCAAGGGTTGCGTCGAACCTATTTTTCATTTCAGTGGTGAAGTGGTGTAATTAACAATACAGCGGTGTTATGGTTACGCTATCGAACGCAATAAGGTTTTCCATTCAAGTGGATTTTCAGAGCGTGTCAGAAAATGACCACGATAATTATGTCCCTGAATGATAAACTGTCTCCAAATACATTACTGACCCACGTAACATTCGTTTAACGCATTCAAAGCACGCGAGGGAATGTGGTAAACGTTTTCCATGTTGTGACAGGTCGAATGATGACACGTGTCTTTTTGACGCCGTGAGCACAACATAGAAACATGCTGTAATTATTTTCCTTCTTTCAGCAATTGGTAATAAATTAAAAAAAAAAGTAATTAGAAATATAGCATTATTACACACATGCATAATTAATAAGCCGCTCAGCGGGAAAGAATTTATTAACATATATTTACCACTTTGTTGAAAACATACTAGATTTCAGCAATTTGTAAATGACAACACCCATTGGGTGGAATTTAAGTATCATGGTCAATAAATGTCGAGTATTTGTCTATGAATTTGTAAACGGTGTGAAACAATTGTGATTTCGATGGATGGACGCAGTTTTACTCTCTTGAATACATCATAAACATGTTGTGTTTCGTTGTACGGTGACCTTGACATGTTGTAACTACAACGTCACAAAATAGTCCCGATTACTGGGAAGGCGTGCTGTACATTGACCATTGCTTTAATTTGGACATATCGTGGCCTTGACATCAACAATGTGTCTAACGATGTACTAGGATGTTACAATGAAAAAAATGTCTGATTGTTAAAATTAATTGTCAACTCTATAGTTACTTTGAGAAACAATTTGTAAAACTGTTCTTTGAGCTTCTAAGGTGTGAGTTGTCACGTTGGAAAGCGGTATTGTGTAATTTCCAAAACAAGCTGAGTGCACCTGATTAGTTTTGATCAACAGGTGTCTACGACACTGTCAACTCAACGTTCCAGCAGGTATACGCCAGAGACTTGTCCAGTCTTGTGTGTATATATATTAAAGAATTGATTTACTGAACCACAGGACCAGAGGACAGCCATGCCGTCTGTATAAAACTATCATTCCAGTAAATCTTGGGTACATCTATCTGTGATATAAACATAATAGACAAATTACAAATTTTAAAACGTGACATGTATGTATGTATTTCAGTAATTGCTTTTCAATAAAAGTATTCCTTTGATCCAAACTTGTCACAAAATGTCAACAAATTGTCGAATTAAAATTACACATATAAATCAAGCTGTATTGTCAACAGTCTAGCGGATCAATGAAGGAGATTAATTCTCGTTTATGGGCTACTCACTGTAGAATGACGTCATTCAGATATTACCCATTTGTTCAACCATGCACGGCATTTCTCCACCGACTCCGATTGTAGTTTTTTCTCCATTGGGTCGAGTTTCTTGTGGTAGTTGTAATAAAGTGGCTGCTGGTAACGAATGTCGTAAGCGGGTCCAGTGACTTGAAAAGAACGTTCCTTGTATAGTCTGGGTGGTGGTGGAGGCGGTTCTGGGGAATGGGAAGGAGACGGTAGCAAAGTATTCTCAGCGTGCTCGGCATTCACCTGTTTGATTTTATTCATCACATGTATTGGTATGGGCGGAGTTTTCCGGTATGCTCTCCTTTCCGTGTATTCCCCGGGGTTCTGCAGCATTCTGTTTTGTTGATTGCGCCTGCCATAGAGTCTGATGTTGTTATTAAGACTATTATTATTGATAGTTCGATTTTGGTATTTGCGGTACGTTTTTGGTCGTGTCCGTGTCCTTGGCGCAACAAGGGGTGTAGCCGGCAAGGCACTAAATTTGTTCCTTCGAACATCAAAATTTAAAGAGTACTCTTCGTCCTCCAGAATTGCGTCGTTCATTAGACTTGTACGACTACTGGAACTTGGTCTCGTTGAATCTGGCGGAGTCGACACCATATCGTCCCCGTTACTCATATCACGTTCACTGTCTGTGAATGTCGTAGCTGATCGCGATTCAGTCGTCATAGTACTGTTCGTAGCACTACCGGTGCTGCTTACTATGGATACTTTGTGCACTTTGTGTGGCTTTGTAGAACTGTTTGTAATTCCTTGATCGTCTTCGTCTGCATATTTTTCCCGAGTAATGTTATTGTCTATTTCATCCAATGAGTCAAACTCGTCTTTTAATAAGTGATTGTCACGAGGTGTATCCAAAATGTCAGATATATGTGTACTGTTTTCCAACTTCTCCTTCTCCATCTCCTCACGAATCTCCTTCATCACTTCTTTGGCTTCCTCAGAAAACCTTGAGAACAACGTCGGTCTTTCCCGCCCCCGCGTTCGAGCAGTTCTTTTCCGAGCGGATTTCACCCTGGCCCTTGAATCCCCTCGGTCATTTTGGCGGTTACTACTATTTATTATCGAGTACGTCCGTAGCTCACTTCCTTCGATGTCGGCCGGACAAGACTGTGTCGACATTAAAATTCTCTTGACTGGTGTACGTGACTCTCGTGCAGCGGGCAGATGGAATTCAGGAGAACCGTCATTGCCAGCATCCCGTAACGATTCGTCAGTATTTGTTCCATCCCTATTCACTATGCCAGACTTGTTCGACCTGCGAAATAATTTATTTTGTCCTTCGTTAGATGTGTACGTTATATCAGGCATATTACCCTTACCCTTAATACAAACCACGGCGGTATTTCCATAAATTTTACGTTTAAGTTGCCGCGGAGTAAGCACACCGTTGTACGCACGTCTTGTAGCCATGTTTGAAACAGTCAGCTCAGATCCCTCCGTGGCGAACGTTCAGACTGCAAACACACGAGGTATTTAATACATGTCAACTGTCGTATATAATGTAATGGGTCTGTACTGTGTACTAGTATATAGCAGCCGTTCTCGACCGCTGAAATCGGCTGCTTTTTCTAAGGTGTCCGCGGGGAAAGCGCGATGTAAACACGATCATTTGTTCTGATCTTGTCAAATATCCAAACATTAATTGAAGCATACAGAGATATAAACAGCTAGCTACGTAATCCCTGGGTACACGACCTACTACAGACACACGCGACATATACTAGTATCCCCAAAGATCTCATTACATACGGGACACACACGGAACAATCCATCCAGGTGGGAAGCGCGTTTTAGCGTTTTGAAGTCCATGTAGTAATTAAATAGCGAATGATACTTGCAAAGAGATCCGCAAAAAAACGGGGGTGTTGACTATAAGCACTAAAGCCTGAGATACAACAATGCCCTATACCGTATCAGCAGTCCTGATCGCCTATTCGATTCACGTGTGTGGGGATACACTTTGAATCCTTTTATCGTGTTGTGTGTGCTCATACGGCTCTGCTAGCTTAACAATGGTGCGTATACATTTAAATAACAATGCTATTCTTATTCCTCTTCGTGTATTGTTTGTCAAATTAATCGGTCGGTGCCTCTCATTAAATCGCTAGTGATTCACTGACACGTCAAAAGAACTCCTGTTCTTCCGATATTCATTATTGGACACCACTCATGGAACAGAAATACAGTTTTTTGCATTGATTACCCGCAGTAATAAAAGTCTCACAGATCAGGGGTCGGTAAACGCCTGGGTAACGTCAAGAAAGCGTATTCTTCGCCAGCCTAGCAACGACAAATATTCCCCTAACTGTGCGAGGTATGAACACAAGTGAACTATCGTGACCCTATAATTATCACACGCCCCTCGAAGTTGAGTTACACACCATAGCTTATATTTTCGGATTATATGTATATTTTAAGCGAATGATTGTTGCCAGAGGCTTAAAGCCTGAAGGATTTATATTCTACAATAAATCTGAATGGCCGTATCCTGTCACATCAAACGAGCATTCGGTCGTTTATTGTCGAGTAAATTACACTTTATGTTAAGCATTTTTGAAACGTGAATTCAGGGCAGACTCGCCTTCTCTGCTCTAGCCTACATGCAAACCTACCTCCATGCCTACATGCACGCCTACTTAAAATGCCCCCGTTCTATTATAATCTGTTTCACCTTAAATTAACGGAATGTTTTGGTTATATATAATAGAACCGATGTTATGGAGATTAGTATTATATTACATTTTTTCGCTTCGATCTAAATGTTTAATGCCCGTAGCGTTTAATACATAGCCGGGGGTACATGGGCTGAATGCGTCCATTAGTCATTATCTATATAATGGTCCAGAATTCGATAGTTGGACAATTAGTCACGGTATAAGACAATTCTAATGTCTGGAGACACGGTATCGATCGGTTTCTACTAGTTCTTTCAAAGGAGATGGTCGATCGTCCAAATATCAGGCACGTGACAGTTGTAAATAAACTGCATGCATCGTCATAGCAACCGATACGGTTAATCGACTCTTGGTGGCGCTACTCCATCATATGTTGACGCGCATCGTGAATATGTGTCTGACTGTGCCCATAGTTCCAATAGTTGTCGAAACAACATGAATGGTCTTGCTCAATTGGAAAGATATGTGTAAAATGGGGCATGAAATTGTGTGGAACACTCGCACAATGTACTCCAGTCAGAACATCAAAACAAAACTAAATTATTATACTGGTATTTGCTTCTACTCGATCATAGCATGACTGGTTACTCTATTAATATTTCGTTTGGACGGATCGAATAATTAATTAAATGATCGTCGTTTTCATCCCATTCGGAATCTACCACGGCATTTTCTCCTGAGTGTAATCAATAAAAACGAAAGATTGTCACATTAAGTCACTAGAGGGCGTCACATATGGACGACTTCACGTCGCCCTTTCCTGGGAATCCTCCAAACCACACCAAGTTATGTTTTCACAGGTTAACATGTCCGAGTTGTTTTGCTCCCGTGACAACGTGACAATGTCATTAATTGTCATGCGAAATTGCCACAGAGTTGTGGCCGTGTGTGTTCTGTTGGACTGTATTTGGTGGTGTTAATAGTGAACATTAATGCCAAGAGTAGACATTCTACTGACAAATTCGTCAATTTAATAAATTCACAGATATACATATTGATGTGCTTGTAATATCTAATATTTTCCCCTAAAAATCATTTTTGAAAAACTAATTATTTTGTTAAGATATATCTTCATTTCCCTGTCTGTAATTGATTAAATATTCTAAATGCTCTAAATATCAACGCTGTAGTTTAAATATACTGAAAAAAAACCATTTATTTTCACTTGCATTTAATTTCACTATTTTGATGTTTTCATGCAATTTAACTAAGGTTTAAGTTCAGCAGGAAAACAAAGAGGTACGACACGGTTGATTACATTTAGCGAATTTAACTTATCGGCGAAAATAGCGAAACTAACAACCAGTGAGTACTAGTAATTAATGCATTTACAGTAATGTGTTCTGGGTGGGCACACGTATAAATAAAAATCAGAATTGCTGTTTGGCGCCATCCACCTCCTAGAACTTGTCGGCTGCCTGCGTGTTTCGGTACGCATAACACAAACCACACTGTTGTTTTAGACCGTATTGATTTACTTCTCTGTGCTTTGTATACATCGTGACCGCCACGTAACTACAATATCCACCGTGAAATCATCAACAGCAAGCGTATGTCTTTACATTCCGATATTGCCAGGCACTGCATATCGAACGAGTTCAAATCGGCTTGCCTTACAAAGCACAGTCCACGCATCGTTTAACAGCTTCGCAGCGCCAATAATTTTGAAAGATATCTGAATTCCCGTCGCACCGACGAATTGCGGTTGCTATAGCGCCCCCAGGGATATAAAACGCAGCGACTGATTGTTATCATAGCGACCCTTTTCACTCGCGAGACATTAAGAATTAATTCAGTCTATATTTCACATCGACATGCTGGATTAAGTTGTCAACAACATACTGAGATCATTTCAATCAGTTGGTGAAATATACATATAAATTAACGAGTCTACAATTTAAATATAATTTACTAGTACTCAAGCTGTTGATCTCATCCGGTTTCCTCTCTCGTTGAAATGAAATGAAATCTTTTACTTGTTTTCAGGTTTTTATCAAATTAAATATGTTTCATACTCTAGTTTATTAAAAGCAGGGGAAGTGAAAAGAATGGCCGACATTTTTATCACTCTACAACATGATTAAAAGACAAGTCGCGGGGGTCGGAGCGAACAAAAGATTCCGCCGCATGAACAGTTGATTGTATTAGTAGAAAATATCGCTTTTTCATGTACATATTGTTGTTTCTTAGTTCATGCATGTGTTATTACTGCAGAGCATGACATTCCAACAACTGTACCCCCCCCCCCCCCGCCGCAATTATCTATACGCCTCAGGATGTGGTTCGATTTATCCCCCACTGAGACTCACTATTAATCGGCATAATTAAATCGAACGTTTCCGATTTCCCGTCAAACGCCCTCATCGCAAAATGACACATCACATTTTATTACTGTCTCCTCATATAACGTTTGTTCAATGCGATATAAACATTTTGAAGGGCACAGGATCATACAAAATTCATTCGCGAGGGAAACGAGTTCTGGTTGAACGACTATAATTTATTTAATGACTAAAATAATTATATGGGTAAAACAATTCTGTACTGCAAATTGTTTATAGTTTGATGAGCTGTTATTTTATGTTATAAAAATGGCTACCAGTGCCTATTTGCATATTTGAAACCGTCGGCTAACTCTGACCGCCATTTTGATTTTGGTTATCATATAAAGTAATTATTGCGCTTTTAAAGTTTTTTTTTCAGAAATAGGGATATTTTTTTCCAGAAATCGGGTATTAAAATTGTGTTATTATATAATCTCCCGTCGTCAATAATGTCGAATAATTGTGTAAACACAGTGTTCGTTCCATGGTATCGCGCGATTGTTGGCGCCATTTGATCTTCACCATCATAAATTGCAGACTGACCTTTATTCTATCAATCCTAATAATTCACCCAGTAATCCCCGATGGCAGGTACGTATTGATTTGTTGTCATGCAGCGAATAAGCAATTCGCGACTTATCAGCAAAACTGAATGTTTTCGGTTGAGAAAAAAATCGGATTGATGATAACCAGCTGTGAATTACCAAATTTTGGGAAGTCAAACAATTAACCCGGCGGATGGAGTGGCAAAATGACGGGTCGTCTTGGGTGAAAGGGAGGGGTAATATGTGTGCGTTTTTATTCTAACGTTCGGAGTTTTGACGGAAAATATATCAACCGTAGTATGCGCATTGTGAAATAACGCCATGCAGAATTGATACAGTTCGGTGACACGGTGAATTTACTCCATCACTATGACACTATCCTAAGACGATTCCCGAATACTGAATGACGTAAAGAGCGTTGTTGAAATTATTATCAACACGACAGTCAGTCTGCACTGCCCCCTATGCAAGTGAAATTATATTTCTTAATTATATGCCTTGTTTTACGTTTTACGGCATTAAACACAAGATTATGGACGCTAAAAATAGTGTTAACAATGCAATCTGGTAAAACACTTTGTTCAATTTTAGAATTCCGCAATATTTCAAGTAGTCAATTTTCTCGTCTCAGACAAAATTACTATAATTTGCCGTGCTACTAATTGCCGACACAGACCGTTTCTGTCTGTCCAATTCACTCAATTCATTACGAAAAATGAGAACACACAAGCTTCCACGATTACCAAATATTGAGCGAAAACATAATTAAGTTGCTATGGAAACTGACGCTCACGATCCCGAGACGCGCTATATAGTTTCATGAATAGACGTTATATAGTCGGTTTTAACATAAGGTAATCTTTTCA